TTTTGCTATTATCCGATTTTCCGTATCTACTACAGTTTTCAATATGTTAGACACCTATGGAAAAGATTTGATTCTGTTTTCAAAAACAGAAGAAAAAAAAAAATGCATTTTGTTGGTCCTTATCATGTATACATTTAGAAAGAAAATATTTCAACCACGGTGTGTATTCCCGTCTTATAAATATAAGTTGTCCTTTCAATCCACAAGAACTAGAATGTTATAAACAGCTTGCGAGATGTAGGATATACAAACAATGAAGAAAGCAAGAGGAAAATTAGTAGAATTTGAGGATTTATTATTTGGACTGGTCCTTATATCTTTCAGAATTATACTTTGCAAATTTTTGTTGCATTATGTTGTGTCATTTTTTCATTTTAGTCATTTGGTATTTCCATCTAACCTAAGATACTTAGTCTATTATTAAAAGATTCTATAGTAATATCCCGCTAGCAATCACTTCCTTAAGGCAATGATAACCGGAAATATATAGGACTTGAATTTTTGATTTACAGAAGTCCATCTTTTTCTCTCGTTCCAATCAATTATGATCTGTTTTTTTGTATATAATGGGCAAAATCAATACAATGACTAGCACATTTAACATTCATAATATAGATAATACAAAAGAAATCAGGTCAAATATGGAATATAACATGAGTTAATAAAATAACCATATAGACTATAATGTTCATTGTTCATTGACCATGCACTAGAAGCAGCATCATAAACACAATGGCATTAGCTTTTTATGATTTGAGTCCTCCTCGTGGCTGATGCAGATGAAACAATACTATAGTTATCCTAACGCAGGAGTCACCAAGAGCAGAAGCTTAACGGACAATCAACCAAATCAATATATATGTATATGAATATTTAAGCACTTTACAATACACATATATATAAACATACATTGTGACTAAGATGGAGAGTTGTCTCATTAGCACTCATACCACATCTTCTTATTTATATGACAAATGTCGTTTCGTTCAGCGGGATCATACTAATGTAGATGGATCGTCGGTTAGAGTTATTGCGCCTTGACTACAATGACTGTCAATTAAAAGAGACGATATAGTTTTTTCAGATGAATTTCAAATGATCAGTCGTATGAGAAAACGAAACGCGTAAAGATCTATGGGGAAAAATACAATTTCTATTTATTTTGTTGGTAAACACTCCAACTAATATGATGTCTAAATGCAGAACAAAATGAATCCGTGATAATGAATTTTGTAGTGTCATATACACCTTTCAAAAATTTATTTCTTAGCAGCCGTGCTTAAAACCAGATATAGAAATCCAAAAATATAAAGTTTATCATTTTTGATAAACTGGTTTAATTAAAGTGGAAACTAATTCTTTTCCGGGAATAGTCCCTGATCGATTCGAATTTTACCCTCCATTCGTAATACGTGTCGACATTTATGCGTTAACCAATTCTGAAAGGCTGCTTGCATTCGTGATCAAAAATCGAGTCCATCGGAATCTTTCAAACAACAATCATGAAACCACCTTATCAGCACAGAAAACCGACGGCAAAGTCTAAGTCACGATCAAAAGACAAAACTCAACGAAGAAAATCTCAAACAAAGCAGTCAGTCAATATAATGAGCGGTGACATTTCATCAGACAATGCCGTTTCAAAATCCTGAACAAAACCTCGAAATATTACAACATATCTGCTCCAGAGGCTAAGCAGGGAAGAAAATGTACCCTTGAATAGAAATACAGCAGAACAAATTGGAACTCAACAGGACGAAGGAACCAAAAGTCTAGAAACAGAAGTGTTATTCCAACGCCAGCAGTTACCAATCTTAACAACGCTGCCTCTTGGTTTATACACTTCCATGGACATGTTTAAGTAACACGGGTGTTTCACAGGGCTTTAATCTAGGAATTGTAAGAGAAACTTTTCAAAGTGTACATCTGTCTACATATCAAGTGTTTTTGGTCATTGTAAGTACCCATATCCAGGTTAAATAAAAGAGAAATTTGGACCGGGAAACATATATATTTACATGTTTTACTTAAGTTAAAGAGGCCAGGCCTATATAGTTAGAGGGATATATTACATCATTTGTAACGAACTTGTCAAGACGAGCATTTTAAGCCCTTATTTGTAAATATCTTAACACCATATTCTAGCAGACTACGCTTTATTCTTCAGAGGCAATCATTTCTTTTGTAAGACATGTTGCAACCTGAAATCTCCCATTCTGACATTTCCACTAAGGTCTGGGTAGTCATGTTGAACCATATTTTTCAATTAGATATCCCAAAAACGTACAGCTGCATATATTATTTACAATAATACTTTCCTTCTTTTGTTCAAATCAAAGAACCGGGTATCATAAAACAAATTTATTTAATGAATATAAAATTTTATAGTCTCTGAAAAATTCTGTCGCTGTAATTATGACTCAAAATTAAAGGGCACCGATAAAGCTATAAAATAGATTAAGTTGTGTGGTAAGAAAACCGACAAAACTTAAGTCTAGTAGACTTCAAAGGTTTTAGCAGCTGACTCTCAATCAAATGGGGATCTTGCAGTAAAAGGGGACCAGTTAACAATTACACCATATAAACAGAACACCATTAAAAATATACATGTACGGACATCTGCCTTTATCATGTTAGTGGCTGTTATACTTTAAAAAATAGTCCAACAAAGGGAAAGATTTATAAGGCCATGTATGCATAGTATTCGATTAGCATTCATGTCCTTATGGTTCAGGGGGGGGGGGGGGGGGGAGGGTCTGTATGTGATGAATAATACTGGGCAGATATTGATATGGAGTATGGATATTGTACGTTTCTATACCCTGAGGTCCTTTCATTCAGACATTAGTGCTAATCATACTTTTGACGACCAAAATGGATTCCAGCACGATCATGACATTAAATTAGAAGATGTTAAACAATTATCTATGACCTGCAAGGGTTACAACCTCGGCATGTGTAATGACGGGGCAACTTGTAAAGTTGCATATAAATGTATCAGGAGCTCTGAAAATCAGTCTTTTACGAACTGAAAAAAAGAAAAATACGTAAGGTATCCTTATTTTTCTCATTGAGATATTCCCCTATTTAGTTAATGAAGCTGAAATCTTTTAAATCAACAAGAAGAACACTAAAATTGGTTTTCGATTTGGTTTCAAACTGCGATTATTATGGTTCGCGGTGTTACCAAGTTTGAATTTGTGATTACGTCTGCATAATTAATAGAACAGAATATAAGATTTAGTGTATCAATGCATGACACTAAATCACTGCACGCACACGGAAAAACCAAAACGACAGCCACTTTGAATCTCTGACTTCATAGCGTTGAAGGGCAATATATATTGTCTCATAAGCCAGATTTTTATGGCTGGATATTGATTATTTGATGTGTAAATATTACAAATTTTGTATATGTTTTATGACAATCAATATGTGACACTTTAATAAATAATTGTATTTATAATTATAATATAGCTAAAGTAACACTAAAATAGGACATCAAGCCATAAAAGAGAAGCGAAGTATATCAAACTCATAAGTCAAAAACAAACCGACAATGCCATGGCAAAAAAAAAAGGAAAAGAGAAATATCAGTACATAAAACACAACATAGAAAACTAAAGACTGAGCAACACGAACCCCACCAAAAACCGGAGGTAATCTCAGGTGCTCCGCAAGGGTAAGAAGATTGTGCTTAACGTATGACACCCGTCGTGTTGCTCATGTAAGTACACATCCGGTGATAAGTATAACTCGGTAGGTCACATTCGGGGAAAGAGGATGGGATTGAGTAGACGAAACGCGCGTCTTGCGTACAAAATTCGGGCCTTGGCATCTATGATGAGTTATTACTATTAACTACACCTCTTTTGTTGGCGTCTTTGTTAGATTAATTTGTATGTTTGTTGAATTTTTTAATCAATTGTGCTGTATGTCTGTAATATATGTTTACTATATAAATAACACATAGCTGAGAAGGTAATAGAGCAGATTGTTACCCCGAGAAAACATTGTCAACTGAGGCGAAGCCAAGGTTGACAATGTCTTTTCGAGGGGTAACAATCTGCTCTACCACCCTCTCAGATATGTGTTACTTAATTTATTATACTGAATGTTCTGTTATTACTGTCTATTAAATTTCAAATTCAAAGTAATAAACTATGACGTCTTGTACATAACAACCATCCGTATTTAATAATTTGATCAAGCGTCTCCGTGAAGGCTAATAGAGTATTTACCATAGGATAGAGTAAATTGTCTCCCTCGTATTAACCAATCAAAATCTGGCATTTTGGCATGAAGTATAATAAATAGTTTTGACTGCTGGATCCCAATTATTGTCACATTTAACCTATTGTGTCTGTTTCGGTTGCTTAGCTAGCTATAAAACCAGGTTCAATCCACCATTTTCTACATAAGAAAATGCCTGTACTAAGTCAGGAATATGACAGTTGTTATCCATTCGTTTGGTGTGTTTGAGCTTTTGATTGTGCCATTTGATTAGGGACTTTCCTTTTTGAATTTTAATCGGAGTTCAGTATTTTTGTGATTTTACTTTTTACCTAATTTTGTCATTATAACGGAACTATAAACAACTGTCATACAAGAAATGGGAGGTTTAGCTAGCTATAAAACCAGGTTTAACCCACTATTTTCTTCGGAAAATGTCTGTACCAAGTCAGGAGTATGGCAGTTGTTTTTCACTTGTTCCATTGATTGATAGCGTTTGATTTTGTCGTTTTTTGTCTTCCCCCTTTTGAATTTGCCTTTGAGTTTAGTATTTTTGTTACACTTTTTTACAACAATTGGATCATATCCGTCGTCATTGGTGAAACAGATATTCCATAATGATCAACCAACTCGTGATGATGTCCGTAAAATTTTTCGAAGGAATAATTTCAGCTTGGAACTAGCAACGCGAAGATACCACAACAATTTAACAAATAAAACATCTATTTGTCACTGATAATTTCACCACCATCTTAAAATGAAGTTCGTTTAAATTCATTCATTTAAGTAGTTATCATTATAAAATTACAAAGTACAATAACATCTATTTTTGTTGATATTCAAAATATTTAGAATATATTGCTTAAATTTACAAATAACAAATAAAACAAAAACCAACACGCTATAAATTTCATGTGTCCGAAGGGCTTTTCTGGATTTACCTTCATCAGGAACGCTGAAAGCCAAGCCGAATACATATTTTTCTTATGTACATCTTTGTTTCAATTGTATTGTGTGGCTATATGCTAAATAAAAGTCCAGCAATTTGTCCTGTATTAGTGTTAGTGTCTGTTGTACACATTGGAGAGTTTCTAAATGTGACTGTTACACCATTACTGGTGCATGTTGTTTTACAATCCTTCCCAAAATAAGACGTAAAGTTTATATTTTTTACCAATAATGTGTATGATGTGTTTGCTTTTAATTGAAATGGATTATTAATATAAACATCTAGCGTTTTACTGGATTCCGTTGATAATATTGGAGCATTCCTCTCATAACATTTTTCGCCTGCACTATTTAGTAATGATATGGTACTAGTACTATTAAAAATGTAACACGGAGGATGTGATACAGATTGAGTTCCATATCCACCATAAATTATAACCCCTTTAAACCAGATAGGTTTGTCTACTCGAATTCCTAGTGCATCAGTTTGGTCTGTTTTTCGCCTGCAATTGTCAATAGCACGATGCCGTTCTAGACGATATAATGTCCTTTCAGAAACTGGCGTTCGGGAAATTGATTTAAACAATGGTCTTTCATCCGTAAAAGGCGCTGTAAACATACTTATGATTTCTTCTTCTTTTAATACTTTCAATGGCATAAAGTTCTTCACAAAGTATTCTTTTTCCACCAGAGGAAACCTCACCAAGAACAATAGGTTTTTCAGAACTGAACGTATGTTTTCTCCTATAACTTCTCTCTCAGATGTGGCGCACTGGTACGTTGCCCATTCCAGTATAAACTGGCAAACATCAGTTTCAGTGCAGCTGAGATATTCTGATTTTAAAATTTCTTCTACGCATTCACTGGATAGTTTCAACGCTAACTCTGAAAATAAACATTTGTCAGCATTTTTTTCGATGTACCTTATACTTTCCGATTTTAGTTCTTCCATGTTGAATTCCATTGCAGTTTGAAGAGTTTTCAAAGGGTCAGATGTTGTTACAGTTTCTTTCAATCTTTGTTCGCATTCGGACTTGACTTTGAACAACATATATTTATCAGAAGCATACAACAAATCTTGCATATTTTCAGATGTAACGTTTACTTCGTCACAGTATATATACCTGAAATAAAGTCAGGCGATATAACAATCATTTGTCAACAGTAATTACATGTATGTAATATTCTTAATTATAAGGATATGAAGATTCGATGTAATAAGTCTTCTTGCGATTTGGACAATCCTGGGGAGAGAGGTTGGTTAAAAGGGACACACCACATCGTTAAAAATAGATTTAGATTACAGACACTCGCAATATATTTATATATTTATTCATATTGTGAATATCATTATCTGTAATCAGAACTTTTTACTTTCAATTCCTGAAGGAACTGGCGTGATGTAAATCACACATTTTCTGTGGATACTCAAACTGTCTTTGGACTTCAACATACAAAGTTGACATAAATCAGTAGATGATTTGGCTGTTTTGTTTTGGTTGCAATAGAATGTTTTATCAAACGTTTATATCTGTTATGTGCTAACAACTTCAATAAATTAAAGTATATCATAAATCTGCCATTTGAGAAATGAATATTGTAACACATATCAGATTACTCACTGCAGTAGAACTCGAAACGTTTTTTCATCAATATCAGGTACTGCAATTTCCCCTTTCTCTGGTAGTGAACCTTCAAACATAGTAAAGAAAACAGGACTTCTGCTGGCTAAAATGATTTTATGGGCTGGTATGGCTTTTTTCTCACTTCCAACAAGAAATATGACATCACACATTATTTCATGCTTCAACATATATGATAAACATTCACGAACAGATTTGTCATCTCTCCAATCATTACTATCACTGATTACTGTTTCCATCTATAAATAAAATATGAACATTACCATCTTAAAAGTTAAAGCATTCAAATACTTGATTCTTCTGATGCTAAAAAGTAAGAAGATACCAAAAAGAGCAATAAAAAGTCACATGAAAAAATATGGCCGCGATAAAAGAGAGAAACAACAGTCCAAAAAATATAACACTGAATATCAAATATTGAGCAATGCCAACCCATTTGTGCCTAACTAGTGGCTTCTGTAACGTTTTTAATGTAAAAATTTAGAAATTCACATTTGATGATGAGCGTGATACAGTTGCAGATAGGTAGATGTCTGTTGACATACCAAAAGGCATTCTCGAATTCATAAAAAACAGCACATGTAAATTTTCTAATCCTTAAAGGGGTATTAGCTACGAGATATAATAAAAAATGAAATATGATTTTTTTTTTTGTTCAATCATTAATGAAAGTGAAATAGTGAAATAACAATTCGCTTCTATCAGCCAGTTTGGTTCAGTTTTGTCAAAATAAGCTAAGAAACATTGCTGATGAATTATTCACTTGCAAATTTATAATTCGATCTCATTGAATCCATATTTATGTGACTTTTAATTTAACCCCTTCGCTACAGACGGGTTACGCATGTTTTCAGCTATTAAAAGGAAGTGAATGTCAACATCGAAAGTGAAACAAGGATAAATCATTTGGTCGACTGATTCGATCCAAAATAAAATCATTCTTATACAGGTAAAAACATACTTTTAACCCACAGAATGAAATCAAACAGACCTAGAAAATTCCAATTGCACTGCACGTGATCGCTATCTATTTATATTTATATGTATGTTTATATCGGGTTAAATGACCGTCGGCAGTCTTCATCCATTGTTAATTGTTTATTTTAGACTTTTTGTAATTAGGATATACGTTTTAGGATGTTATTAAACACATATGAGAATTTGAGTCAAATCGTTGGACATGAATTTGAAAGCTAATGCCGATTTAAACATAACCATAACACAGATATTATTAAGAATAAAAAAAAAAAAAACACAACCCAAATATTGACAAATATTTCAAACAACAAAACAGACATTGACTAATATTTCAAACCACACCATAGACATTGACAAATACCATCAAACATTACACAGACACTGACGAATATCACCAAAGTCAACACAGACATTGACAAATATCACCAAACGCAACACAGACATTGACAAATATCACAAGACACAACACAAGCATTGACAAATATCACCAAACACAATACAGACATTGACAAATATCACAAGACACAACACAGACATGGACAAATGTCACCAAACACAACTCAGACATTGAGAAATATCACCAGATACAACACAGACATTAACAAATAACACCAATCACAACACAGACATTGACAAATATCACCAAACACAACACAGACATTGACAAACATCACCAAACACAACACATACATTGACAAATATCAACAGATATAACACAGACATTGACAAATATCACCAGATACAACACAGACATTGACAAATATCACCAGACACAACACAGATATTAACAAATATCACCAGATGTAACACGGATATTGACAAATATCACCAGACACAACACAGACATTGACAAATATCACCAGACACAACACAGACATTGACAAATATCACCAAACGCAACACAGACATTAGGAAATATCACCAGACACAACACAAATATCAACAAATATCACCAGATATAACACAGACATTGACAAATATCACCAGATACAACACAGACATTGACAAATATCACCAGACACAACACCGATATTAACAAATATCACCAGATATAATACAGACATTGGCAAATATCACAAGACACAACACAGACATTGACAAATAAAACCAGACACAACACAGATATTAACAAATATCATCAGATATAACACAGACATTGACAAATATCACCAGACACAACACAGACATTGACAAATATCACCAGACACAACACAGATATAAACAAATATCACCAGATATAACACAGACATGAACAAATATCACCAGACACAACACAGACATTGACAAATATCACCACAACACAGACATTAACAAATATCACCAGATATAACACAGACATTGCCAAATATCACCAGACACACCACAGACATTGAGAAATATCACCAAACACAACACAGACATTGAAAAATATCACCAAACACAACACAGACATTGACAAATATCACCAGACACGACACACTAATCTTAAAACAAACAAGAGGAAAGGGAATTTTTCTTAATTATTTTTTCCCCATTTTAAATTTTTGTTGATTTCATTTTGTTTGTTGTTTTATTGTTCTGGATGTTTTTAGATTATTTTTGTTGGTTCAGCTTATAGTATGTTTTCGTTTTGATTTCATCTATATATCTTTCAGATTGTCAGTAAAATATGTGAGACTGAATCTAACTAAACACCGTTTGTAAGTAGATATACTTTTTGATCGGGTCATTGAGTTTTAAAAATGTTATGCACTGATGATACAAAAATGTGAATGCGGAAGAAAAAAGTAACAATTAATGTTGATGGTGGATTTTCGTTGATGTTTTATATTGCAAAACACAGTCATATGCAATAAACAAACTAGTCTATTAATCTATATATAGTCTAAGAAATAAAGAAATGTTAACTTACATCGGATATCCTGAAAAAGGAAACTTTTAAACGGACGTATCTGGTATTTCGAAAAAAAAACTAGTTACGTAACATTGACATTGATAATAATGCATGTGTATATGGAAATTAGCTGAGTAAAAATGTTCCATTATGGACCAAATCAGAAATAAATAAGGTTGCATTATAGGAATGGAAATGTGTGCGTGTGGCGTGTGTGTGTGTGTGTGTGGGGGGGGGGGGGAGGGGGCGTCCTTATTGACGGATCTAGATAGGCACCTTTAAAAATAGTGGCTTAGCAAATTTTACCTTCCTTCGACTGGTAATTTTCGCTAAATCTCCGCCTGAAATGATATCTGTACAAAATATTCAGTGTGCTTTCGCACACCTTATTATCGTCTATCGCAGCGGGAGATATAATACAATATCAACTGTTTTCCCGATTGCTATTAAATTAATTGTTTATGCTATCGTGTACAGCAGATTTTTGTCAGTGTTTCCGATTGCCAATGTAAAACAATGTGTTTTGAGTATTTTCGTGTACAGCAGCTTTTGATCTTGTATCGGTAGCCAGAACTATGGTGTGTTTCAGAACTGTCTAAATTATTAGTGACAGGCGGTGATCAAGACAATTAAAGATGATTTAGACGAAGACAATGATACTGCACAACGTAATTTACGAGGACTGAATTGAGTTTCTGAATCAGTCTGTTGGTAAAAATAAAATTCTAGAACGATTCACATAGGTCTGTTTTTATTATTCGAGTCTCATAACACCAACACAACTTATCATGTTTGATTGGTTGGCGTGGTCGATTGTTGAGATTCCTCGTTACTGTAGTACCTGGCTGCTAGTGACAATTAAGAGGCGGTGATTGCGGAATTTTTTATTGAATATATGTTTTTTTTAACCTTAATGTCTGCTTCAAGACATTTGTTTTGACGATAATCTGCACTTTTTAAATTTACAATTATGAATAAATATATTCACTCAAAACGTTTTTGTGTGAAAAGAGAACAGTCAATTCCTTCGAGATTGATGAATAAACGGCAGTTTATCACAATAAGGTACTTCCGGTTACATTAAAATTAGTACCGTGTATGACCACCTCGTGCTGCCGATATTGCTCTGCATCTGCTTAGCATGGACTCTGGCAGATAACGCGAGAAAAAAATAATACTAAGATAAGATATTTATAATTGTAAAATCAAAACAATCAGATTGCTGCTAAATACATGAGAGAACACAAATAAACAATAAACGATACACATATGTTACATTTACAAAAAATATTTAGAAAAAAAAATATATTCTTAGTTTTTTTTTGTTTTTTTTTTCTTTTCTTAAATGCTAGACAACATGCCTCCCCTCAAATTGGCATAGACATTTTTATATTTAGAAGAAATTCTGCTTACTTCTATTTTATTCATTCATATATTTAGGGTATATCAAAACGAAAAAGGGTAGGCCTATACATGTAAAATCAACAGTTCATACGCAATTGCTAATATTGTTACTGTAATTAAACATCTCACTTATGCCATTAACAATAATTATCAAAATATCATATTCTTCATCAGAGGAAATAAAATTATAATTTTTTTTCCATTTCTCTTTGAAATAAAACTAGGAACAATATCACAAATTTCATTAATCCTTTACAGTCTACTGTTGTGGTAACATTATTGTGAAATGGAATTCATCTTCCACCCCTTTATTTCATAGGGGGCACGATCTATTTTCTAAAGCTGTTTTATTATATTTACCACGTTCAATATCTAGCGTGTTGTTCAATTCTTATTTTTGGAAAGTTTTTAATAACATTTTTATCTAAATTTAATGAAAGATATTATACTTTAAATTTTCTATCAGTTCTTAGCTTATTTCCATTAGTTGAATTCTCATAATCAAACAGATTATTTTTTCTACGATCACAAGTTAAATTTTTTGGACAAAACTTAGGTTATCTCCCTTTGCCCAAAAACTTCGGCAAGTTTTGTAGCCTATCCAGATTGATAATATTTTTTTTACATGTATGACTATGGAAATTCTATTATTGCCACTTTTGTGACCTTGACCTTCCTCATCACCACTCCGATGTAGGATAGTTGTATAAGAGCCTTATCAGAACAAAGATAATGATGGAGTGACTCAACCGCAAAAGCCACCAATGGACCATGCATATAGACCAGCAAATGACTATTTCTTAAACTGAGTAGTTATTATTAATACAAACATAAATAACATACAGAAATAGAGGACAATAATGTCATTGAAGGCTACATCATGCTCAGTGCAGACTAGAGGACAATAATGTCATTGAATGCTACATCGTGCTCAGTCCAGAAGAGCAAGTTCATGCGAAGGGAGATGCAGGATTTGGTGTTAGTAGGGGAGGGGCGCGCTCCTGAGAATAAGGAATTAGATGAACTAATTTTGACACAAAATTGGCTGTAATTTAATTTTATTATATATATATTTCATTTTTTTTTCTTTTTTTAGTGGGATGCACACTGGGTGTGTTTCTGTCTGAATCCGTACCTGGAACTGTAAACTTAAGAACACAAGTAATATGAAAGTATGGGATATTTCAAAATAAAAATTATGAACATCTCATTATATAGTTAGAGACGAGCATACATCCAGAGAGAATACAGATGACTAATATATACCACTGAAAACAGTGACGGCCGGTGCTTACCTTGACAAGCTACATAGCTATTATGTAAGAATATATATTAACATGATTTGATAATTGATGTGCATTTTAATATCCTTTTTGCTATACTTGAGTAAATAATTCAAAATTATAATGACATCATATGACTGTTCAAGGTTATCATTACACATTAAGTGAAACTTCTTGATATACAAATCCGTGGCAAAATGTACCTTTATCATTCGTACTCAATTAACATGATGATATCCATGGATACATGTAATGCATGAATGCGTCCTAATGTGTCATTTAATGGGTTGTACCATAGATGTATGAATCCATGATAGATCCTTGGGTTTATACATTTATGGTTGTTCAGATACAAAACGCTTTCCGACACCATTTGCTTTTTTAAGTCTCGATGAATTTATTTTAATCTCTTACAATGTATGTAATACACTGCGAACGATTATTATTTGTGAAGTGGTGGGGTTGGAGCTTTTTAGGGGGAAATGGGGATCCTGGATCGAAAGATGACAACAACGGTAATGGTTCTCATTGTCGGTTGGCAAGTCTTTGTAAATTATCATTAGAATTTTAACTTGTTCTGACTTTGTTTTTCAGGGTAAAGATTCCAATAGCTTCCACATGACTCAAAGAAGTTATAAGGTAAATGTTATTGAGAATGTAATTTTAAAACAACACAACTGAACCAAGTACTGTATGCAACGTCAAAACAATGGACAAGCATCAATTTTCTACACTTCGAAATGCACTTTTTGTCATTTTTCTTTATTTTTCAAAAGAAAGATATCCCGGATTGCCATAAGTTAATTAAAGAAAATTATATAACTTAATGTTATACACAAATAGTACTGGTATTTAGATACATAAAGGTAAGACGTTATATATTGATAACAATAGTGTGTAATTGGGTTTTTTTCTTCTCTTTTTGTGTCGAAATTGCACTCAATTATTCTTAGCAGGCAGAAACATTGTGAAATGTTGCTTTCCTTTACAAATACAAGTAACAAGAACAAGCTTCACCAAGTATATTAGTCATCAATATATTTCGCTAAAGTTGGAGAGGGTTGAAGCCTAAGAACTTTATTTAATTGTTTTGAGGGGTCACTCATTGCTTAGAATCAATGAGGACGTTCATATATAATACAGAAAATTCTACCTAACGCCTTCTGCTGATAAATAATGACAGTTCCCCTTTTGGGATAAGTGTTCTGTTCTCTTTCCATTATTAAAACTAGATATATTTATCAATGATTACAACATTACAAATATAACCTTATGTTTCACTACAATGTGTATTACTCTTGGCATTTTACCCTTGATACTACGTTGTCGTAAATATATTTGGCACTGACTCTCAATTGCCGTATGTCTGACAAGTTTTTTTTATAAAGAAATTCCTACATGTACGATATAATTATATTCACATTATAACAAATTACGAAACAAGGCGTGATGGAATATTTGGTATTCTGATATTGAGGTAAAAAGTCAAGGTCCTCATGACCTTTTTGCATGGCCAAATTATTACAGAAATAAGCACATTGATGCATATCTGCGATACAGGATGGTCGAAGTAGGAGAATGAAATTTGAATTGTTCTATATTTCGTCATGTTGGGACCAATTATTGCTGACTATACTGTATGGGTTTTGATCATTGTTAAGGTTGTAAGGTGACCTATTAGAGTTAATCTAAACTCTGTTTGATAGTTGTCTCATTGGCAATTATACCCCATCTCCTTATTGTATATGATCTAGAATTGTTAATGTCCAAATTCAAGTTAGAAAAAATACACGGGAAATTGATTTCTTGTCTTGGTGCACTGATTTTGCTATATGAATTTTACATAAATAGTCTGTCCCTATCAGCAACAGAAATAATTCATATATTGTTATTGAACGCTACCATGACTCCGAGAGAGCTACGTGCATATATTTATGCTATAATTGTCCCGATTTAACAAAATAAAACCTGATCAAAAAATGAAAAGTAAAAAAATGACCTGTTCAAGACACATGCATCTTATAAAAAAATCAAAATTTAAATAGATGATAACCTGGTTTATTTTCATGGCGGCAAGTACTCAAGAATATTACTAGTATACTTTTGTTTGGCAAGCTAGTACTCTGTATTATATAGAAAGTTAGTATGTCTGAATATTATACATGATACATACACATGTTATCTCATGGATGGATCTTTGATATCAACGTTATCATTTATGATGTGAATCCGAACAGCATCGCTGGATATAACAATCCAATTGTATTTATATTCTGTTATATCTATTGCAATATATGCCAGATTATAGTATACTGTATAATGTACCATGTTTGTTGCTTATATTGTGTATGTAGCTGCTTGTAAATGCCCCCTATGTGACCTTCATTGTAATAATAGATATCTTAATTTTATATTAGGGATGACAAGTGTCTGTCTGCAATCTGTTCACTATGTGACAGATGAGGTCACCCTTTGTTGATATGAGACTAAATTAAACAGCATAGTTTTTTCTGTACAA